AAAGTTACCTCACACGTTTCAGTTACGATTTCATTTTCAAGTGTTTTTTTTTTCACTGCTCTTTGGACCGCCATAACTGAAACTCGTCTCTCACGTGCCAAACATCTTATGGATTGAGTTGGATCTTTTCTAATTGATATCTTTAGCCCTAAGTTAAAACGATTATCTCTCTTCATGTTGTGACTTTCTGATTCATTTTTCCTCTCTACTGTTACTTCTTTTTAAAACTTATTCATCTTTTTCTTTATGGTTCTAGCATGGACTTTGAAGATAGTAGCCAGAGTATGAATGCTGGTACCATTACTGAAGGCCTAAATGATTTTTTCTTCTCAGCATTGCTCAGTTGAGAAAACAGTGGGCTAACACAAAACGATTTTAACCTGTTCTCTTTCTAGCTGCATAACACAAAGGGTTTTTCAATGATTCTTACGACAAATGGCATCAAAATGGCTAAATATCTTATCTGAAAAACCCGGAAAAAAAAGAAACTGAATTAGTTCAGTAGTTATTTTAGATATTAAACATTTTGTGGGACGGACAGTTATGCTGTTACCTGATTTAGAAAATGTTGCTGTTACACACGGTATAAAACTTACCAAGAATCGCAAGTAAATTATAATCCTCCAAAGAAAAAGAAGTTAATTGTAACGTTTCTGAGCGATGGAAACGCAAATTTTGAAATCGTGAGAAAGTTAGAGATTATGGAACAATCAAAAATTAAATTAAATATAATGGCGAGATATAAGAACTAGCTTGACAATGTTAGAAATATGATTTGCGAAAAAAGCATAATATTGATCCACGAGGAAGAACATATTTGATGCTGACATTGCAAAAAAAATCAGAATTAAAAGATAGAAAATGCTAAAAAAAATAATGGCTAAAGACAGGAAGCAACTAAAATACCATTTTCACAAAGATCAATGTTTATATCCTGGCGTTGAACATAGAAGAATCAGGCGACTTACTTCATCAGCCAAAATGTCCCTAATGTCGTCTGCTGTTTTTAAAGAAAATATAGATATCTTCCACCACCGGAAGAAAACGCTCTCCTTGTAGGCCAATGAATATGCGAAACGGTTTTCAGTCTGGGCCAGGCTTATTACTCACGTGCCAAGTAAGGTGTTTTTAAAGAACAGTCAAATCCGGCTTCGCTCCTGGCCAGTCGCAAGAAAGAAAAAAGGGAAGAAAAAAAGAACTGGAAACAAAGGAAAGGTAAATATAGGAAGGCAAAGATAGGAAGGAAGGAAGGAAGGAAGGAAAAAGAAAGAAAGAAAGAAAGAAAGAAAGAAAGAAAGAAAGCCTCGGGTAGAGAGATACCCGGACGAGGCTATGCCGAAGAGCAGAGTCTCGTCCAGGGAGGTAGACAGATCGAACCCTTTTATGCGTGGTTACGGGAAATTTTTGGCCGAGCCTACGGGCTCGGATTACCCCACATTAAATCCGGCCTTGTGCCATATCCTACCTCGTGGGGAGGCTGGTAAATATCGACTAGCTGGGATCTGTTGAGTACGACTCAGACTTACTCGAGAACTACTGACCTTCCAATAGTAGCACTCACTACTGGATTGACTTGCGACGACCTTGTGCGCAACTGTTACCTTTATTCTTACTGTACTGGTTTTTACAATAAACCTTTATACTTATTTTATTCATCTTGTTTTTCAAGGATATATTCCTATTAGCACGGAATATAACAGTGAATATAATTGATGAATCCAAGATAAACGAAAAACAATATAAGTTGGACAAAATACTTTTACGAGTCTGGAGAGCATCACACTGCGCTTTTTTGGTTTCACGTTTTCACATGGCTTGAAGTAGAGTGACGAATCAATAGCTGCATTTATTGCAAGGAAAGTTGCGTCACTGTGTCACTGCACCAGAAAATTTATCTCGTCAGTGTTCATCTTGCACATTTACAAATATACCATAGGTCTGTGAATTGAGTGCTGCTTAAATATTTGGTCTGGTGCACCTGCTATTCATCACGAGATTTTTGACAAAATCGAAAGAAGAATATGCAGTGTAATCGATCCTGCCTTTGCATTTCGACTTCAGTTACTTTCGCACCGATTTGACGTGGCTACCCTCTGTCTTTTTTACAATTATTTCCATGACAACTGCTCTGGCGAGCTTTTCTCCTTGGTGCCACGATTAAATGAATTTAAGCGTGCTTGATTGGCAAGAAGATTTTTCCGTTTTAATGTTGATCCAGTTAGATGCAAGCGCCACTTTTACTCTGACAGTTCCTTTTCTCTCGGTTCTCACCTGTGGAACTCCCTTCTGATTTCTTGCTTCCCTGATAACTACAAACTTTAAAAATTTAAATGAACGTCAAATGCCATCTTCTATCTTCTTGAACTCTGTTCTTTTTTGTTCCTTTCCTCAATCCTCCTCATTTTCAATCTTCTCTTTTTCATTTTCCTTCACTTTCACTCCATGTAACGCCCCCCCACCGCGCGCTCTAGCGGCATTATCACCTTGCTTGGGGTTAAACGATTAAAAAAAAAACTAGAATGGCTTGCTTGGCGTGATATGATAAAAAAAGCACATGTAATAAATAAAATGAAAAAATTATTTCTTACCTAATCATAAAATTTATCCTGGTTGAGTGATTTTAAGTAATTCTCAGTTTTTAAGACGACAATATGTACATTTTCTATAAAAGTTGACTTCCAAAGGTTTTCAACAAATTCCAACAGTTTATTTTTCTACCTCTTGATTTCTCTTTCGTTTATTTGCTTCCCTGATAAATACAATCTTCATAAATTTAAATGCAAGATTAAACGCCATCTTCCATCTTCTTGAATCCTGATCATCTTTTGTCCTTTCCTCAAATCTCTCTATACACAGCCTTATCTCTTACTTTCACTCCCTCTAACCCCCTGTGTACTAGTGGCATTTCTACCTTGCTTGGGGTGAAATGATTAAAAAAAAGAAAAGAATATGTCACTGATAAGAAGCTTTAAATGGATGTGAGTACTTCTTTCAAAATGTGACAAAATAGGTTTCAAAGCCATCGAATTAATGCAATGAACTACAGGCTCTCCAAACCGGTCTATAACTAAAAGGCACCTTCAACATGAGAACGATGTAAAGTATTTAAGAAAAGAAAATGCAAGTCTCCCGGAGGGGAGGGAAAGATTTGCAAATAAAAACTTTGAAGTTGACATAGTAGAAAATGTTAACAAAAATCATTGACGACATTTAGCGATTCACACGAGACCCATATGAATATCTCAAATAGTAAGTTATTCTGTTATATGGGACAGAGTGTGAAACCGTTCACGTTTTTCGACCCATTTATTTTTGTGGACGTAAGTATGAAGTGGTTTAAGGCATAATCCTACAATTAAAACAACATGATTTTTTAGAACAGTATAATTAATTCCATTTTTATTTTATTTTAATTTTTAGACAGTGTCAACATGGAAATCAATAATGCAGTGTGTCTGTTTCACGCTTCTTCAGAACAATTCCCACTACTACTTTCGCGGGCTGCATACACCGGGCTATGTATATGTGGGAAGGAGGAGACCTTGCTTTTTTTTTCTTTTTTTTTTTTGGAGGAGGAGGAGGTGAGACCAATACTTATTGTTATTTACAGTTATGACATGTAGGTTGCTTATTCATGTCGTCTGTTCTGTTCTTGGAAGTGTGTTTGTAATTTTAATGGCAAATTAAGAAGTTTATTAATCGTCATAACTCTAGATTGCTTATTCGTGCTGGTTGGATGATTGGAGGAAGTGTGTGTGTATATGTGTGTGTGTGTGTGTGTGTGTGTGTGTGTGTGTGTGTATATGTGTGTGTGCTCTTATTTTAATAGCATATCTTTGCCTTTGAGAAAGAGATGAGAAACATAAATAGACCCTACTCAGTTTTTTTTGTTTTGTCTTTTTTTTGTTTTTGTTTAATAAGGCTTATTTACTGTAATGGTTTCTAGATTGCTTATTTATGCTGCTTGGGTGGTTGGAGGCATGTCGTTTGTTTTAATGGCATATTCTGAATGTATCGCCATACGTTCTTAAAGGCAAGAAGGAAACGTTCTTCCGTTCGTATTTAATATTTTCTCTTTTTTATTCGAACGCCTCGTTTACCATATACCCGAGGGTCATATGCCGTCTGGGATTTTTTTTTTTTTTCATTGGAAAAAATATGATGCAAACGGTAAAAAGTATGTTCGGCGGTCTTTAGCATTTTCTAACCGGTTCTTTTACAGCTCTCCCAATACAAAAGTAATTTATATTTTCCTAAAAAAATGACGCAATTCTAAGAATAACATTTAACGCTAAGAAATCCTGTCGATAAAACTGTCTTACCGATTTTTTTAAAGAAGGTTCACTTCGTCTCAAATGTGTTTAACATGTTTTCAGACAACGGGATAAGCGTTACGGACGTGTGAAACTTTATAGACATCAGTCACAATTCTTTCTTTCTTTTTTGTTGTTGTTGTTACTGAGAGAGGTATCTGCTTAAATCATACGGTGGGTTGGAATTATTGGCTGAAGGTAAACAAAAAGAAACTAAAGAAGGATATTTGATCTATGGACCAAAAGCGTCTTAAGTGAAAAATGATTTTCTACAGTCTGCAGACTTTGGTATGGAATGTGTGGTAAGAAACTATCAAAGATCTAGAGAAGGAAAAGTAAAAGAGGAAATGAAGAAAGGAAGAAGGAATTGAAAATGGCAAGAAAGAAAAATAATGTGTAGTATATAAGGTAAAGAATAAAAAAGAAAGATGGAGAAATAAGTTCTAATATTTAAAGGAAAGAAAGAAAGAACGGTTAATAAAGGAAAGGTAAATATAGTGAGGCAAAGAAAGAAAAGAAAAGAGTTTTTTCTTTTTCTTTTTTATTTTCTTTTACTTGATTTTTTGCAGGAAAGAAAAAACGGTTAAGAAAGAAGGAAAGAAAGAATGGAAGAAGGAAAAGTATTAAAATTAAAAAAAAAGAAAAAAATTAATTGAAATGGTAAGGAAGAAAAATAAATTGTACTATTTATAACAAAGAAAGAAAGAAATGAAAACAAAGGTCGGGCAAATATAGCAAGGCAAAAAAAGAAAGAAAGAAAAAAAGAAAGAAAGAAAGAAAGAAAGAAAAAGGGAAGAAAAATGAAAGAGTTGAAAACAAAGGAAAGGTAAATATAGTAAGGCAAAGAAAGAAAGAAAGAAAGAAAGAAAGAAAGAACTGAAAATAAAGGAATGTTAAATATAGCAAGGCAAAGAAAGAAAGAAAGAATGAAAGGAAAAAGGAAAGAAAGAAAGAAAGAAAGAAAGAAAGAAAGAAAGAAAGAAAGAACGAAAAAGGGAAGAAATAGGAAGACCTGAAAATAAAGGAAAGATAAATGTAGCAAGGGAAAAGAAAGAAAGAAAGAAGGAAAAACAAAACAAAAAAAAGAAAGAAGGAAAAAAGAAAAAAGGAAAAGAAAGAAGGAAAAAGAAAGAAAAAGAAAGGAAAAGGAAAGAAGAAAGAAAGGAAGAAAGTATAAATAACGTAAAGAAAGAAAAATAATGATAAATAACGGAACACCAAATATAACAAAACAAAGAAAGAAAGAAAGAAAAAATTGAAAAAAAAGGATGAAAGAAAGAAAGGAAGGAATAAAAAAGAAGGAGGAAAGATTTCATAATATAAAAAAAGAAAAATAAAGAATGGTAAATAACGGAATAGCAAATATGGCAAGGCAAAGAAAGAAAGAAAGAAAGAAAGAAAGAAAGAAAGAAAGAAAGAAAGAAAGAAAGAAAGAAAGAAAGAAAGGAAAAAATGACAAATATAGCAGGGCAAAGTAGGAAAGAAAGAAAAAGAATGAAAAATGAAAGAAGGAAAGAAACAGTAATACAGCCAGAGAGCAAAAAGAAACATTTAATCAAGCAAACGAAAACAACGAATGAAAATGGAAAGAGTGCAACAAATGATGATGCAAATATAAGAAATGTGAGAAGATAGGAGAGAAACGATACGAAATAAATTCCAAATATAAGAAAGAAAAAAAGGCACACAAGAAAGAAAAAAAAGAAAAAGAAAATAATTAAATAAAGAAGGAAAAATTGAATTGAATTAAATGTATATATATTAATTTCAAATAACAAGTTCTGTCTCGATTTTTGAGTTTTCTTACAAATTTCAAATGAGATTTACATCCCAAAGAAAATCAAAATTAAACTATTCAAAGTTTATCGCTTATTCTGTTATTACATTTTAAATGTTTAAAATAATAGTATTATATTTATATTATATTATATATAATATTTATATAAATAATAATATTATCAAGAAGTGGGTGACGGAATAATTGATATCATATGTAAAACCGTTTTGCGAACTTGACTACAGAAGAAAAACATGTTTTCTATTATACGTGTAATATTATTATTATTATTATTATTATTATTATTATTATTATATTTCGATTTCTGCTATGGTTACACTACCTACCAAGTCTGTGAGAAGACCTAAGTCAGATAGTTGTGTGTTGTTATGGCTACATTTCATGATTGGTTTTTCTTACTCCTTTAACATCGATAGCGTTACATAGACAAAGTTGTTAGTGTGTGAGCTGTATCTATCAAGACGATTTTTTTGTATTTCTCTTAAGCTCGGATTTCCAGGGATTGTTCAATGTGTTGTTCTGTCCCTTTTTTATCATTGCAAATGCACCTACTCTGACTGATACTATTTTTATTTTCAATTTCCACGTTTTTTCGATTTCGATTTCCAGGTTTTTATACTTCGATAGTTTTTTTCAAATTCCTTCGTTCGTATATTGCAGTTATTTTATTATTATTATTATTATTATTATTATTTCTTTTTATTCCTATTGCATAATGTGGACACGTTTCCTTTTGTGTCCCAATCTTGTGGCCTTATTTCAGAAATATCATCATCATATTTTCTTCTACACATTTCGGTAAAAATAACTAGAAACTTATAAACATTTTGCATCGATAAAAAAAATCTTTGCTTTATGTGTGAGCTGTGTCTGTAAGAAGAATATATTGCATTTACTTAAGACATAGGCTGACATGTCAATAAGAAAGTACATTCTGTTTTTTATGGTCATTGATCACGATGTCTGGGCGATTAGATTTGATTGTTCTGTCTGTGTGTATTGTAAATCGCATCAAATTTTTACTTGTGCTATATCTGCAAACGGGTCTCGGAGGTGTCCATACCAGTTTCTTGCAGTTTCTTTTGGGTAAAAGTTTCAGATTTTCCAGTCCAATGGGTGCCATAACCGTGCAACCTGATACAATATGGCCAATTGTTTCTGGATTTTTATTACATAATATGCATTTAAGACAATTTTTCAATATAGGCGCTTGGTAATTTCTGGTTAGCAAACATTCGTCTTGTGCAGCCAGAATAACACCTTCGGTTTCAGCTTTTAACACTACTTAACCACTGATGGGTACGAGGTTTGTCTACATCAGCTTGTTTGCTACGGGCAAATTATTGACCATGAAGAGGCTTACCATGTCATCCTTTCTGCATTGGGTCCTTTGCATTTTGCTTTTGACTTCCTTTTAAACACATTTTTCCACTGCCGAAGATGTATTATGGTTTACTTGCACTTATTCACCCACTTGAAATTCCCTTTTGAATTTTTTGTCTTCTTTTATTATTATTATATTTTCATTTGATTTCTGTTACATGCATTTTTCTTTCCGGGTCCCAACCAGAGACCTAAGGTCAAAAATGGCTACGTGACATGTTCCACTGATCCTTTTTGCAATTAAAAAAAAATCTAAGATCACATACATTTTACATAGATAATCTTCATAATGTGCGGGCTGTACTTGTACGTGAGCGAAATGAAAATTGCTTAAAACTAAGAAAGAAAGAAAAAGGAAAGAAAGAAGGTTTGAGACAAAAGAAAGAAAGAAAGAAATAGAAAGGAAGTAAGAAATGATGAATGCGTGATAGGAAGAAGGAAAAGAAAGAAAGGAAGAGAAAGGGAGAAAGAAATGAAGAATGTTTGACATGAAGAAAGAAAGAATTGAAGAATTTTTGAGATGAAAGGAAGAAAGAAAGAGAAAAGAAGAAAAAAAACAAAATGAAGTATGCATGAGACAAAAAAGAAAGAAAAAAATGAAGTATACTTGACTAGAAGAAAGGAAGAAAGAAAATAAGAAATAAAAGAAAGGAAGAAAGAAATAAAGAATACTGGAAACCAAAGAAAGAAACAAACAAACAAAGAGAGACAGAAAGGGAGAAAGAAATGAAGAATGCTTGAAATGAAGAAAGAAAGAAAGAAAGCTTGAGAGAAAAGAAAGAAAGAAAGAAAGAGAGATAGACAGGAAGAAAGATAAAGGAAGAAAAAAATGAAAAACATTTGATACGAGGAAAGAAAGAAAGAAAGAAGAAAGAAGAAAGAAAAAATGAAGTAGGCTTGAGACAAAAGAAAGAAAGAAAGAAAGAAAGAACGAAATGAAGAGGGCTTGAAAAAAAAGAAAGAAAGAAAGAAAAAAGAATGAAATGAAGAATGCTTGACACGAAGAAAGAAAGAAAGAAAGAAAGAAAGAAAGAAGAAAAAAGAAAAAAGGAAGAAAGAAATAAAGAATGCTTGAGATAAAAGAAAGAAAGAAAATCAACATGAAAAAAGTATCAATGACAGGGGATATTGAGAAAAAACGCTGAGGATTCAACGAAGGGGGCCCAGCTTTTCGGACCAAAGTCTCAGGTGTCTCCTTAAAATATTTCTCTCCAACCAAACATAGACAATTGATAGGCTTCCACGCGGTTCTAGTCCAGAGAGGCATTTATGGCAGTCATAAAACTGATAGGATATGATAGAAACGAAAGCGGATATGATGATGAGAGAAAGGGAAATCCTAATATCCAGACAGACATATTGTTTACAGGGATGCGTTGGGGGAGGTGGGTGATCAGAAATGGGTAGCAAACGTCTTCCCTCACTTTTATGTTTTGAATCACCTTCAACAATTGTGTAATATATCCCCGATTTTATCTTAAAGTTGTTGTTTCGAAGTCAAAATTATTTTTTTTTCTCTTTACTTTCAGGCGTTAGAAGACATAAGCTGTCTCACGTTTAAGATACGTTTGGATCGAGAACATCTGCGGCAGACATAGTTTCTACCCAATATCGCAAATAGCTACAAAACCAAAAACATCAACATGTTCTTAAATAGCCTAGTCAATTCCAGACTTTCGAATGGATGATATAAATAGCGCCAAACCCTTTTAAAAATATCTAAACTTTATACAACTGCTTTCGAAAATCAATGGTTAGAAAACGGTTTGGGCGACTAATGCCCGAGATTCGTGGCAAAGATCATTCCGCTTTGAATAATGTCAACTGGCGCTACAGGATCACAGAGAACTGTATCAAACAATAGAGACCATTTTACTTGAGAATGATCAACAGCGGTAACAATTAAAATGTACTGCACGTGTGAATCCCTAATGAAGTCTACAAGTTTTGCAAAAACAGTACCTGATATCCAAAAACACATCACTTGATGACTACCAACAGCAGCAATATCTAAAATGCATATCACATGTAACTCGAATGGAAAATAATGACATAATCAAGATGTTGATATACCACACTACATATATCAAAGAGGTTAGGAATGAAACCCCTGTCACTACTGGAAGGAGCGATAAAAGCTACTGGACTTGCGAAACCTATTTTTCCGAAGAGACGTTTTAAGCGAAAGTATGGTTTATCAAACGACTGTAGTTGAGGCTGCTAGGTTAATGAATGCCGGATGTTTCTTTATAAGGAAACGGCTAATATTGCCATTGTCAATTATCGTGCACATTGTCTTTCAGTGAGCAAATCAAAGTACTAAACCGGAAACTCTCCTGATTTTAATTCAATCGAGAATCTGTGATCAATCTACAAGGAACGACTTTGTGCAATGGACATATAAAGTACTATGGGTCATGTTTTATTGGGAAAATACGAAAAAGTAAATAATAACGGAATTATTCGTTTTGTTTCAATTAATTTGCACAAGGGTGTACATTAAATGACGAGATTATTTCAAAATATTTTTTGCGTAATATTGGTAAATATATCCGTTAAAATGTGATGTCAGTGTTATTTTCATTTTTGAGTAATTTAGGTGACAATTTATCCATCGCACACTGTACATAATGCATGAAGCCTCTTGTTAATTAACTTTAGCACCAAGACATACTTGCAAGTACATAAAAATAATTATACAATAAGTAATAATTTTCATTTTTTGACTTCCTTTACTGATAAGGTGTATTATGACTGTATAGAGGTTAGTGTCTATAAAATGAAAATCAATTGGCTCTTGTCACAGTTAGAAGAAATAATTAATAAGAGTAGATAGGTTTGCCTATCAGCCGGTTCACACTCCTCTCCTCAATTTGAACAGGAGTAGAGGTTCATCCTTGTTTCCTGTTTAGGACTGGGTTCTCGGTTCTTTCTAAAGTTTATTTCAACTATACTCTGCACGTCTACTTCTGATGTTGCTAATTAAGTATTGGCGTACTTGTCATGTCTAGAATTAGCTATCTTTCATATTATTTTTCCCTTTCTTCGCTTATACAATTCCACAACGTGACCCTCTGCCTTGGATGTCCCCTGTGCCTTGTATTGGGGGAACAGTAGTAAAAAAAAAAAAGATAAAAAAGGAAGTATTATGTAAAATGTTCTCTATTGCTGCGCTACGGTAGGATAACATCTGGAACCCAGTATAAATATTTATGTGGAAGCCTATTTCGATCAAGTGTAAGTTCTCTACCAAAACTCTGTAGAAAACTGAGTCACGTCATAAACTCGAAAACAAATAAATGAAGTCAACATCTTACAGTATTAGCAGCAAACACAATATACAGCACCAATGTTATTCTCTTTACAAGTGTAATGTAGTTTCCTGTGTCTTTGATGAACTTTCCCCCATGGTTTCATTTTTATATGTTCTTATTTTTATTCCCCACTCCCCACAGACATCTGGGAACTAGTAAGGACTACATGGAGACTTGAGGTAAAGGGTGTTCCGATAACTTGGGCCGATTTTAATTTATGTTTAAGCGTCTAATGACGTTTTTTTTTTTTCCTTCGGATTTAACCACTGAAGTTTTTGGCAATTTCAACCATGGAAAGATTAACAATCAAACAACGTCTTAAAATTATCGAAGCCTATTGCGAAAATGAACGTTCAAACAGAATTTGAATGAGAAGTTCCCAGGTCTCATCATCTTTCGAAACAGCGAAATCAATTGGCCACCAAGATCGTGCGCCTTTAGATTTCTTCCTTTGGGGGTCACCTCAAAAGTAAAGTCTATTCCAACAAGCCAACAACAATTCAACAACTGAAGGATGAGATAATAAGGCATATTGGTGAGATCGAGGAGCAGCTATATAGAGAAGTCATCAAAAATTTTGACCATTGATTGGAGGTGTGCCGCCGAAGCCTTAACGGACATTTGGGCGAGATTATTTTTCACACATAATTGCCATGACTTTTTCATGATCCAATTGAGAAATAAATAAATTTTCATCAATAAAACTGATTTATTTACTGCTGACATTTAAACCGTCTTAATGAAACACCCTTATATATAATCCGTCTTAATGTTAACCCTATGTTATGGTGGCTGTAGTTAGAATGGTAAGTAACAACGTGTTGTTTTAGTGTAAAGAATAATCTGCTATCTTTGGGTCAATAAACGTGCCTAGCGAAGTTTAAGATGAGAGAGATTGAAACCCACTTTTTCCCTATCGGCGTTTTTTGCCCTTGTGCCACATTTACCTGTTATTCTAAATAAGCATGATTTTCTTCTGTGGTAACTAGAATTTATGAATTAATCTTTTCTTTTTTTTAAACTATTCGTTCAGAATAGTAAATGTTTCCCCTATTACTTATCTTTTATATTTTTAACAACGAGAATAATAAAGAAAAATGTTCTCATACATTTGATGATGATTTTAAACTTTTAATTATTTTCATTATTTAATTTTGTTTCTATTATTGTCATTAAATTAACGCTCTATGTGCGTTACTTCTGATGCTCTTTGTCTTGTTGTATGGGCTTGTGTGCTCCAATGACTGAGGACGATGTTGTCGGGAGATTTAAACTTCTAGTAGGGCCACCCTTGCCCGTAAGGTTGAAGACGGGGACCCAGACTAAGGGAGACCAACCCCAAATCTGGAACAAGCGGATAATGATTACAACAGATCTCGACGGTTGTACCAACGGATTAAGACGGCTACGCATGACGGACATACTACAGAAGGCGCCACTCGAAATTATAACACTATCAGCGGCAGTCCGTTGCAGTTTCATAATTGGATACATCATGTCTCATTATATATGTGCCGCAAAGTAAAGTCATAAAATCAAGTCCGTAGATCACTTACTGGAAAGTTGAAATCCACCATAAATAAATTCACGACATTGACTATTTCTTCAACTAAGATTATCTTTTATTCACAAGCAACACTTGCAAAGCCAAATAGTGTTAGGGAATGGATGACTAAAGAAGGTTTTGGTGAAACTGGAATCTTTTTAGACTCGAGCTTGGACTTTGGGGGCTTACAGTACCAGGTGTTCCCAAGCGGTCCCCCATCTAAGTACTGACATGGCTCTACGAGGCTTAACTTCGGTGATCGAACGAGAACCGGTGTTTTCAGCGTGATTTGACCGTAAAGCAAGCTTGCTCGTTGGCAGTGAATTTAATCATCAACACCATTATCATAAGGGAAATGGCCAGCAAAAAGACATTAAATTCTAGGATATGAGATAATGCTGACGATGACAGCGAAATTGGCGGAAAGGTTTCATCGTTTTGCAGTTGAAATGAGTCGATGTAACCAAAGGTCTGTGTTGGTAACACAACGATTCAACTGATAATAGCAGATAGGAACAAAAAACCCGCGAGGAGGGTAACCGACAAAATACCAGTGTCACACGTCCAACCTTCCCACGAGCAAAAGGCTCACTGATCAGAAACAAAAACGCGCCTGCTTTATACAGCCGAGGACCGACCGACCGACAACGAGATTTCGCGTTAACTCTCAGAGACCGCCTGGCATAAAACATGGGCGCCGTCATTTTGGTTCCTTTTCACCGTTGAGCAAACATGAGTTTGCACATCGCACAGATTAGCAGGCGTTTCCGAGGTAGGCCATTTTCACAATTTTCCACACAAGGTTCTATGCTAACAGTTTCTCCCCTCTGAGTCCCGCTTATGGAACTTTCTTACGGCTTCTAGCTTCCCAGTTAACTTTGATGTTCAAACATTTTTGAAAGACATCGACACAGAGTTACCGTGGGTTGCACAGTTGATATTGATGTTTTTGGCACTTACTTTTTTATGATGGGGAGAATCGAGTAATTTCTGTAAATTTCGATGGGATATGGGATGCTATGAAAAACTTGATTGCATGTCTTCAACCTGATGGAAGCACCGCGCACACGGCAGGAGCAGAGTCCTACTGGAAGATGTAGGGGCGTCCAGCGGTGATCTTGTCTATCCAGGGATTCATCACGCTCCTCAGCACCTCCTGGTAGATCTCAGCGGTGATTCTCAAGCCCCTTTGAAAGAAGAACAGAGGCATGGCGTCCACCGCGCTGCACACAAGGCAAAGACGACCCGGTCGTGGCCGTTCAACAATGTTCCTCACCACTGGTCGCCGGATATCTGGCAGCCCTCCTCACCTGACTGCCACCCACTTGACTATTTCTTCTGGGGCGTGATCGAGGCCAAGACCAAAAGCACGCCCACAACACGCCGGTATGTACAGCGCGTGACTCATTTCGTGCTCGCCTTGAGATGGTCGTCGCCACCTCCGGCGGTTACAGTGGAAAATAATATAGTATGTAACTCTAACTAAATAAACTGTCGGGTCTCTGCATATAATTTTTTTTTTTTTGTTTTTATTGCTAATTTCGTTTTCTTTTTGTCAAGTTACGGATTTTGCTACAACACCCTGTAGTTCCACATCAGGGATTTTATAACGGATTCAGAGTAGGTGCTAACTTTGCATTCGTTGTAATTTCATATAATAAATCAATCAATTTCAAGCTTTTTTTAGCAAGGGGCTGTATGTATGATTTTGAATCGAGGTCTGGAATGAAATTAAGACCCAATAGATTCAAAGTTCGGAGCCTTATTGAGATTGACACCGTTTATAGTGAGCGAAAGGACCCAGAATATGAACAGTGACGATTAAATTGTAGCAGCTTGTTTTTTTAGTTTTTTATATCCTGATGCAATTGCAAACATTTAATCAAATACTTGGATTGTTTGTAATGATAGTGTAATGTTAGCAAGTTTGTCTCGCTAGAACAGTTACGACTGAATAGTGAGTTCGATCTTCACTGGGTTCCTCATACATGCGGCCTAGTGCCACATCTAAGCTACGCTTGGAAAATCAGTATATATTATTTGCAAGGGGAACGATGTGCAGAAAACATTATTTGTAAACGTTTATTTTTTGAGACAGACTTCAATATTGTGTTTGGTTAGTCGGTGGGTCGGTTGGTTTTTGGTAGTGACTGAAGCAAATATGATCGATGCATTAAGCATGGATAATGTTGCACGAAGTTAGTCGTTCTACGCTACGGTGCCCAAATTTGAATGGCGGCGGAAAATGAAGCTTTGTAATGGCAGTGATGTTGATTTGGAGATTCGGGCTTAGGAGTTTGCAACTGAGGGATTTCGGATAACATTTTCGATACACATTATATAGACGGGAACGAAAGGGGTAAGGAAAGGGTTTAAAGAAAAGAAAGAAAGAAAGAAAGAAAGAAAGAAAGAAAGAAAGAAACAAACAAACAACGATAGAAAAAAATGAAACTTTACTCACTTTACTTGTTCCGTGGTTGATACCCATCAAGGTCACCTTCCATTTTTAAGATGGTTTTCAGATGAAACACCAGGCGCGGTAGACTGGCTTTCCGTGAAGAGATTTTTCCAAACGGGAATAATAATAATAATTAAAAACGGTAAAGAAGGTTTTCCACGAAATATTAAAGAAATAAAAGTATTAAAATTTCACGTTCTATCTTGATTGTGTTTTTTTACTACCATTTATGAATGTACATGATGGCAGGAGAAAAAAAATTATCAAACCAGACTTAAATTCCTTTGGGCTCAGAGAAAAGATGATATCTCTAAATAAACTTAAAGACCTTTTACCCCACAAATGATTTTTTATTAATTAGTTTCCATGATATTTTCCACCATATAAAGCAATTTGAAAATGTATCTTGAGCTAATAAAAAGAGACTTGTAAATGAATTAAGAACACTATTTGTATTTACCGGCAAATTAGCCTTGGTGTCTGTTTTACCTGGACCGGTAAAATAGCCATTTTGTTGATCCTTTCGCATGGAGCCCGGAGATTGAACATAGGCGCTTCTTCCATATCGAAATGCAGCCAATCTTTCAGCGGCGTTTTCTTCTACTTGATGCATTAGTCTTTTTATCATTTTACTAGCAAGACTGGTCAGACTGATAGGCCTGTACTCTCGAACCCGGCTGCAATTTGCCTCTTTTGGAAAGGATGATTATCAATAACTGACTTCATATCGCTCTTATCTTTTTAGAAATGTAATAAAAATGGGACTAGAAATTTTATTTTAATGTCTAGCCTTGGACTTATTGTTAGTATTACAATTAATAAGAAAAATCATATATATATATATATATATATATATATATATATATATAACTCTCTTAATTGATTTAAAAGAACTGTTCAGAAATAAAATTACAATTTAAACAAAATAAGCGCTACTAAAGTTAGCACTTGTGTCCCCACCCTACGCACACACGCAATCTCCAGGAGGCATATGACCCCCCATGTGATTGAGAGGTTCAGGGTAGTAATATCTAGTTATTATTTCTATAGGAAAAAAATCCTCCTTTGTAGATGATCTCGGAATAAAATATGATTTTACCTGATATATATATATATATATATATATATATATATATATATATATATGATTTTACCGAGATATATATATGATTTCACCGATATATATATATATTTCCCCCACCACTTCCACAATAACACCAATACACGCAATCTACATAAACCCAATTTTTTAAAAAATTCATCAGTTTGTCTGACGATCGCAAAAGCGTGAAACCCAGGGTCACAAACTCACATCTATCCAACCAAATATGTTAGCTCTATCTCTGATATTGAGCCCTTTCTAATAAGTACCGCGTATATAATATATAAATAATTATACATATATATATTTAGTTATATTTATATACACTTTTCATATATATATATATATATATATATATATATATATATATATATATATATATATATATATATATATATATTACCTCTTAATTGATTTAAAAGTACTATTCAGACAGAAAATTAAAATTTAAAAAAAATAATCTCTCGTGCACCCCTCACCAGTAAACATGGGGTCTCTACGCGGTTGAGCGGTTCGGAGTTTTAGCACCGGCCCTGTCGATATTATAGTTAAATGGGTACCTCCGCATGGTGTAATTGTTAGCAAGCTTGTCTGTTTAAAAAAAAAAAAAACAATTACGAGGGAATAGTGAGTTCAATCCTCACTGGGCGCCCCTTACTTTCGGCCTTGTGCCACATCTAAGCTACTCTTAGAAAATCTTCGATATTATTGTTGATGATCGACAATATAACCGGCTATGCTGATACACGATGTATATTATTAGTTGATGACTGACAATGTAACCTCAGTTTAAAAATAATGGCCATATAACAGTGCTGAAAATAAGGTAGGGGCTACAACGGGGCACCAAAATGGCACCCCCTTAGTCGAGAGTTTCGGGAGTAAGACGCACTCTACCTAGGCAAGAAGGTGGCAGGGAGATCGACATAGCAAAATTTGTACCAAGTGTCACCTCCATTTCTACCCATACGAAACCCTGAATTAAACGTTTAAATATATTATTGGAAACGGCATTTGTATTGTCTTTTCTCCTTCTTTTCATTTTTTTACCTTGTGAACATGCAGCGGGTCTTTTCCCAGCTTACGGCGAGAACGGAACGTCGGGTGGGGGAAACCATTGGCCGGTCATTGCAAAATCTTGAGCGTGGGTCGCTTGACTAGCTTGAAGGTAATTTCTCTGTATAAACAGAATGCATGTTCGATTCTCACCGACATTTACTTTTTCTTTCTGTTACCTAGACCGGTGCGCATAAATTTCAGGCTTTGAAATAAAAAAAATAAAAAACAAACAAACAAATAATCGTTGATGTAGACTTAAAAACGTCTCTTCATTTAATGGAGTGGTTTCACAGTGGAGGCTTGTATTTGTACTAAGTCGGTCCTAAAATAGGTTCGACGTTCAAGACGTTAGGAACTTAATATAATAGGTATAACGCAGAGTAATCTAGTTGTGGTCGCTGATACTTTAGTATTCGACTAACTGTCGTCCGACATCAACTGACTGACCAACTCACTGAGCGATATTCAGTCCCCCCACCCACGAGGGCATCATGTGGCACAAGGCCGGTTTAACGTGGGATCTCCGACGTAGCCTCGTTCGGGTTCCTCCCCGCCCGAAGGCAGAGAGTTCAACCGGTCAGCCGGTCGTCCGAATTTAGACTGAACTCAGACCGACCCACTGATCGACTCCCGTTACTCTTACTTCTACTTATTATAGGTGGCAGAGTCTATTAACTATAGAATAGGTGTGTTCCACTATAACACTTCAGTAAACTAAATTTTAGAGGAAAAAAAAAACATTATTTACATTATTCGGACAATCGTCCTCATCTTTGTCACCATATTTTTCATAACATTTCGGCCTTTGTACGCTCCGGCCTTCTTCAGGTGGTTGGAATGTCGAACTGAACCCTTTATTTCGCTCACTGGGGTAGACTGTTCTAGTTCTACGTTCTATGTTTAATTGATATCAGTTATTCCCTGTTAATTACCCTCTCCAAGTTCTCCACCGGCTTAATATTAACTCACACTCTTTGGGTTTTGTCACTGGATCTAAACAACGCCTTTATTCACTGTGCCATGTGTCTTTTAAGACATCTGTGCATGAATATCTGGGTATTATAAACCGAATGTCTTACCTTTAAGAACACCAGAAAGCTGTAACACGAAGGGAAGTGGAAAAATCAGGCGTGGCTGACCACATATGGAGAGAAAAGAGAGATCACTGCCCTCTGTGGGATAGGATTGAGATCATAGACAAAGAACACCATTGGAAAATTCGTAAACTTAAGGAACCAGCGCATATGCTAGGCCACGAAAATCTCCTGAGCCGACCAAGCATAGAAATGAATACAATATGCGAACTAGTAATAAGGAGTGCCAGAGAAAAGCGATTATAACAACAAAAAATTGCAATATGAGCTCTGGTAAAAAACATGCAATAATAACAGCAAAAAATGTCAAAAAAATGATTACTATTGACATTAGATTTATAAGACCCAGAAATTCATATATGGTGACAAAGATGAGGACAATAGTCCGAATAATGTAAATAGTGTACATAATACCTCATCCCAGAAATATAGACAGATACTGAAAGGCCGAAACGTTGTAATAAATATGGCGACAAAGATGAAGACAATTTCCGAATAATGTAAATGGTGTACATCATACCTCATCTCAGAAATATAGACAGATACTGAAAGGCCGAAACGTTGTAATAAATATGGCGACAAAGATGAAGACAATATTCCGAATAATGTAAATAGTGTATATCATACCTCATCTCAAAAATATAGACAGATACTGAAAGGCCGAAACGTTGTAATAAATATGGCGACAAAGATGAAGACAATATTCCGAATAATGTAAATAGTGTATATAATACCTCATCTCAGAAATATAGACAGATACTGAAATAAACATATACAAGTTTTATTTCATTTAGCCGACATGATCCGTCGGTTTAAGTTTTTGTTGTAATTTCCGGTTTCCGAATATTTTGTTGCGCATGCGTGTCAGAATTATAGATAAACACTCGAAAGTTCATGTTTTTTGTTCGCCTCGGTTACTATCAAAATCTAAATATTGTCAAAATCGTAGAGAAAAGTTTTATTAGCTCAATCCTTGTATTGTTTGGAAGCGATGTATTTCAGATTTAAATGTACGTGTATATGACGCCATATGTAGGACATTTTCAAAGATCTTCACAACAGAAGCTATTTTTAGGTGTTATAAATACAGTATAAATGTTCAAGTTTTATCTAATATTTTAATCTGTTTTTTACGATGACAAATTGCGTAGTGCAAGATATTTAATTTAGTGCTGTTAGTTATCCTTTTAATAATGTCTTCGGAAATTTCTACTCCCTCTAGACATATTTCTAGACATATTTCATTCGCTAGGATCAACGTACGCACTAATTGCACTAAGATTCCATATGCGATAGGTTAACCCACGAAAGTGTTTGGTACTTATGTGACCAATGTAAGAATCTACTGCATTTTTGGTGTTTCTTTTCTTTTTTCCGAATATTTCTATAACCAAAAGACACTGCTAGTCTGTAGCATGTATCTCCAAGAGATAACGCTATCTTCTGTCTATATCACTTAACTCAGTGGATGAAAGCTTCAGCTGATTGATCCTAAAAATAACTTGACTTAAAGATTTCAGTCCCTCACCACACCGGAGAGTAACAAAAACTTGGAGAATTATTAAGTCGAATTAACAAAACCTAAGATATGAAAAATGTACTGTACGTGGCATTAGAACAATCTACTCAAGTGAAGGTAACTCCTTGACCGAACGGTTTAAGTTGGAAAATATAGACACGCACGTAGTGGATAGCTATGTGATTTTATCACGACCTTGTTTCTTTTTTATGGCCGGCGAATGGTAATAAATAGTAATAAAGGATTCGTTTGGAAA